GGATTTTCTTCCATTAGCAAGACCCAGAACCAACCACAGTTTTTTTGAAATGCATCTAAGTCTGTAAATGACACGGATTAGAAACTGCTGGACACAATGTGTAGCACAAGGCTTGATTCCTAAGGTGTGTTTCTTACAAAACTTTGAATCTGTAATACTTCTAATTTGTATTTGTAAAGGTACTGCTGTGGTCGAATTTCCTTGGTATGTTTAAAATGTGACCAAACAGACACTAAAAATCCATGAACACCTGAAGATAGTTGCATGCATAATTGTCAGGGTTTGCGATACACAAAACTTAATTAAATGTGCTTGGTCATTTGCCTTCAGTTTTTTTTTATAGAGCACTTTTACAAGGACAACTAACTTTTTAAATAGGTTTTTAATTTTGTCTACTTTCTATTGTTTGTATTCATCTTTTAGAAATTTCAAAATAAAATTCCTTTCCCTATTGGCTTTGAACTCATTGTTTAATTGTAACGTAGAGCAGATCTTGTAATGAAGAGGATTCTTTGATTTGGCGGGGGGCGGGGCTCAAGCTATTTGGCTTTCTGGGAAGAGAAGATTGCTGTTGGATTTTTTAAAAATGTGTCTTATGAATAGAAACCCCCTATTTGTAGTTATTTACCTATTTTGTTGTAATTAGTAACAGTGTTATCAGGCTCACTTACACATTTTGAAACTGTAAGGAGGTGCAATCTGAGTATTTAATTTTCATTAATGTTAACTGGAATGTGGCAATGAATGTCCTCCAGGCAGTTCAGTCTTAAAAATTGATTTTCATGCTTGCTGTCGTGAAGGAAGATGCTGAAATGAGTCGTAATACTGCCAATACATATTGTGCCCCTAAATACAGAAGAGAACATCCTTTCTTCAGAGCTTTTCTTTGCTCTGGCTTCCTTTCATTGTAGCCTATTTGAATATGGTAGTTTTTCTTTTACAACACAACCCATGCACACTGTGGAAGTCTAGAGGAAGCATGGTTATTCTTACTTGCACACAGGTGATCGTTGGCTCAGACTAAGGTCAAAATGCTCAAGGAGGAGGGAAAGGGATGAGAGTATACATCAAATGCCTTTGAACAGCCAGCATCTGGCTGCTGGGGGCTCCCATTCAAGTCCTTCGTATTTCTTTTACTTCCCACAATAAAACCTCCCCACACCCCTAGATCTGTTTTTCTCCCCAGCCCCCCCTGCTGCATGTGCTTTCCTGCTTTGCATCCTCACCTGGAGCTTGGGTTCTGGAGTGGCTGCTGAGCTGGCATGAGGAGATGCCAGATTACAGGAGAGCACAGCCGCTACTAGCCAGCCAGCCAACTGCTGTCGCTCGTGGCTGCCGTGCCCAGCTCCACGCAGTGTCTGTGGTGTCTCTCGGCTGAAGCACCATTCTCAACGTGTGTCAGAGAAGCAGCACTGCCAGTGCTGCGTGGGTCCTAACTGCCTCCACGTCTTGCTCCAGCAGCGGGTAGAAAGACCTGTGTGACAGTTGTGAGATGGATTGGGAGCGCACCATGGTGTCCCTGCGAGCGTGGTGGTTCCTCTGCGGTCTGACAGAAGATGCAGGTTCCAGTCTCTGCAGAGGAGCGTGCTTGCCGCACACCTTCGCTCTCAGGGCAGCGTGTAGCTGAGCGGCTGGGTAAGAGCCAGAAAAAAGATGACAGCAGTGCCACCGCTGCCCTCCCAAGGCATGGTCTGTGACAAAGGTCGGGTGTCAGAATGAGCTCCAAAGCAGGGTTGGTTGGCATTGAGGCGTCAATTTCACAAAGAATGCTGCTGCTGGTTATTTTGTGTTGGCTAAATGAAGCAGTCTGCATCTTAGCATCTCAGCTTTGGCAGGTCCCCTGTTTTGAGGTAACCACGGACCCTGACAAATGAGCCTGGGCAGCTGTCTGCTTCTGTAGGCAGCAGCAGAGGGTGTCCCTCACCTGCCCAGTCAGCAGGACGATGTCTCGTCTCCAGCTGCAGGTGCACCTAGGTTTGCACTGCTCTGCTGAACTGAATGCTGGGATGGCTTAGACAGGGACCAGCATCGCATTTTGCTGCTCCTGCTCTAACAGGTGTGATCTGCAGAGGGGTGACAACTGTGGGCAGCGTCGTCTTCGCTTCCTTTACCAAAGACCCTGCAAGAGGGCTCCCTGCTGAGGTCTCAGATCACCTCACCAGGTTTCACCGGCCTGGTCACTAAGAGTCTACAAATTTGATCCAAGAACGGAGTGTCCCTACCTGTGGACTGGTGATTAGTTTTGGTATTGCATCTGTCTGAGAATTAGTTGCTTCCTAATTCTTTTTAGTTATAGATGATATAGCATTAAAAAAAGAAGTGCATTTTTATAGTGCAGTAGTAATTTTCCTTCACATTAAACAGATGGAAGGAGGGGAGAGAACAACACATATGAGAGAATTGTCAATGTGTACATATCTGTGAGAGACAGTCATAAAAAAAGACAGTAAAAATCAACTGGTCATTGCAAGCCCTTTTCCTTATTTTCTACTATGTTGCCAGTAACTAACTCTACACTGACATTTTTTCTACCTGATGGAAACTTAATGCAGACACCACTTGAAGTTTCATTACATATTTAATGTAGGCAACATGCTTTTGTTTTCAAAGTGGTCTATAGATTATCTGGGCTAGACTTCCACAACTGTTCATGTGAAAATTCTGGTGTCAGCCTTCGCCTGTGGGAGAGGAGGACATAAATACACAGCTTGGCAGTGGCAGCTATACTTTTCTCCACTGTGGTTATTCGTGACTGAGACTTTGTAGAGCTGCACTCTTAAAAGAACAGATTCCTGGGCCTGGCAATTTAGGAGACAGTCATGAAAAACAGAGCCAAACCCATGATGCAAAGAGATGGAAAATGGCTAGGTAAAGTGACCACAGAAATGGGCCACAAATGGTAAGCGAACTGCAGTTTTTATTTGTCTTTCTCTTATTCTGGACAAAACAATGAAATACTGGATTCTTTCAAATTCTACTAGAAGTTTTTATGTTACGCTTGAAAGGTGTTTTCTAAAGTCTTGCAAACCATTTGTGTACAAATAATTTGGGGATATTACTGTGAACTAAAATTACTATTAGTGCTATCATCATAGCTTTTAGGAATTCTTAGCTAAAAATTAGCACTCCATTTTCTCCGAGACCAAAGCTTTCACCCCTAAGTGCTGGTTTTATTCATCCGAATGGTGAATATGGACTTAATGAAGGCTCAACATCAAGAAAGTATTTTACTGCAAGCGTAAACCATAAACTTAGTGGATTTTGTCTTTTTTTTTTTTTTTTTAACTTTCTGTTATTGCATTAAATTTAAATAAAGATCTGTGAGTTTGAAAACTGAACTGTGTCAGCTGAAGGCTGCTGAACAGACACTGACATTCTGGAGCTGGCAGGCGTGCAAACTGTGTATGCATTCTTGCAGCAGAATGTCTGCTGTCTACCATTGCTCCCACACATACTTCCAGTTTTGTTGCCAAATCTTTTGATGGAAAGTGAGGGCTCGGGTACATTTCTATCCTCTCTCTTCTGCCTTTTTGGTTGGTTTTTTTTTTACATCTCTTACCCTTCCAGCTGTAGCTTACATATCTGGCACTGCCCTCCCAATGACTCTCATCTCCCTGCTTGCTGATGCACTGTAGCAAGCTGAAAAATGTGGATGAATGGCCTCCACCAGATTATGCAGAGAGCTAGGGTCATGGCTTAATTATCTAAATCAAATCTATTAGAACCCTAAATTTCAACATACCTTTCATATGTTGTCTATAAAACAAATAGGTCGTTTCTGTAGCTTGATTATGACTAAAGGCAGGTCATGAACATATCAGATGGTTTCTAAAGCAGCTGTCAGAAGGAATGAAGGGGAACTGAGCCCAAAGGACAGATACAAAGGGTCACAGCTGTAAATGCAAGAAAGCTCTAAGACTTTAGGAGAAGCCTTGGGATTCCAGCAGATCCAGTCTATCTGTAAGTCAAAAGCTGCATGCTCAGGGAGCAAACACAGGTGCCTTGAAAAATTTATGAGCTTCAGTGTCTGGGTTTTTTTAATTAATATTTTATTTTTTGTATGAAAAGTGATCAACTACCTTTCTATCACCCATGAGAACAAAGAGAGAAGCAGTAATTCTCCAGTACAAGGAACTAGTTTGTTTAGTAAAATTTTAAAAACTTACTAAAGATTCTTGAACTAGTAAGGATTCCCAAGCCCTAACTTCTCTCTAAAAATTAACAAAAACCTAATATATTTCCCTTCAAAGAGTTTATGAATTTTAAAATGTGTAGTATGAAAAAACCCCATTGCATTTAAAAGAATTTAAGATGTGTTTGTCCATCACTTCTTCCAGGAACTCTTTCATATGTCAGTCTCCTTTTTTTAAACTGTGGTAGTTCTGCATTTCCTGAATCTGAAAAAGAAGTGGAAAGAAAATATATGTATGATAAACTACAAATACAGCATGTACGCAGACTTAACTATGTGTTTCTCAGAAGCAATAACAGAATTTAGCTTTAACCAGTATGGTCTGTATGAAAAGTTTCAACTGCCATAAAATTAAACATATACAGACTAATATTAACTACTACTTAGTACTACTGATCAGTTTTATGCATATTGTCTTGTAATAATACTACAGGACCTATACAAAATATATACATCAACATGCACTATGCTTAATCCCACTATTTCAGTAAAGATTTTAATGCTTATTTCTATTTCATTAATATTACACTCAGTAATATTCAGAAATTGTGAAAGTTAATTCTTTTTAACCAGAGACTTGTTCATGTTTCTGAGTTGTTTAAAAAAAGCTACTTACATTCTTAAGATTCAAGTATTTTCACAACAAAATATTTGAGTAATTGCTTATTCAAAATAAGTTACTGTAAGAAAATTCTGTTTAGTGTTTACAAAAAGTACTGTCAGAAAACTTTAACACTGATTTAAGGATTTAA